AGTAATATCTACTATTGAGACATCACAAAGTAGTGTTAAAATAAGCACTAAGTATCCTTGTCTCAGTCTCTCCAGAAATTCAAATTCTTGTAGAAAGGAAGCAGATTTAGTCTATTTTCTTTTTCCCAACACACTCAAAGTAAGATTAAGGTACCTGAGATGTTGTGCTGTTAAGTCAGAAGTACTTACTAGAATTGCTCAAAAGCACCTATCAATGGTTCAGCAACATATCACAGTAACAATAACCATTTGTTTACTTGCACAAGAAAAGACACTCATTTTTGCTCATCAACACAGGGTGAAGTTCCTGTTTCTGCCACTAAGGGGCATCACTTCTGTGCAAATTTAAAAGGGCAAGGAGGATAAAGAGGCAGGTTTACACTAAGAGAACTATGAGGAAAAGGAGGGCAGCAAGAACAGAAAGCCACACAGCCTTGCAGGTTACGCAGGCAATGACTTATGACTGTCGTCCTTACCTACTACCCTTTTCTTCCCATTTGGAACCCCTTGAGGGATCATTACACATCTTAGATACTTTTGCTTATAAACCAAAGCACCTAAAATATGCCAGGTAAGTGCTAGATAAAAGGAAGACCTACAAGGAGATCACATGTAGTTTGTTTATCTTTGTCACATTCGTTTCAGGTACCTGTGGGACACTCAGGAGGAAATACCCAAGGGAATAGTTAGAAACGCAAACATAGTATGCAGAAATGAGCACGCAGAGGACATGTGCTCCAAACTTGGGACGCGGACAGGTGGTGATGACTGAAGCTGGGGGAGTAAACGAAACTGCCAGCAAGCCCAGAGCAGAGAAAGGAAACCTTACAGGCAGGTATAAAAAGGAGCCTATGAAAGAGATGGTGGGAAAAAGCACTGGCAGAAAGTGGGAAACCAAGGTTGCGAAGAGGCTTTGGGAGGTTGGAAGAAGCCTTAAAGGAAACAATCATTGCACATGCAGATTTACTGCATAGCGTGTTCAAGATGAGAAGCAGCCTAAACTCACCACAAGAATAGATAAAGTTAATTATGGAATAGCCACATAATGAGAAAACTATGTAGCCTTCAAAACTCATAGCATTAATGTTATAAAAACAAAAAGCAGGACACAAAGCAATGTATACATAAGCATAATTCCAATCCTATCATGATTTGTACATGTAAATGGTAGTGAATACGCTAGTGTTTATTTCTGCGTGCTGAGACTAAGGGATATTTCTATGTTTTCTTTACATGAGTCTATCTTTACTACAAAAATATTTAATATCATTTAATCAGAAAATTGACAAATAATTTCCAAAAAGGAGAAACAGCAGGACCAAATAAAAAAGGGGGAAAATGTACTCTGTTTTCCAATTGGGAGGTTTCTGCTGCTTGAGCAGTTGGAGACACGTGGGAGGGTAAAATCTAGTCTGCAGTGAGTTAAGGAATAAACCAGAAGAATTAAAGTAGAAAGACAGGTACAAAACAGGTTAAGATACTTGGCTTTGAAAAAAATTTAGAATTCTATTTCTTTTTAAGTTTCAGAGTTGGTCAGTGGAACTGACACTAGAAACCAGGTCTTTTGATTCCAAACCCAAAGCTCATTCCACGAAGTGGGGTGGAGGTGGAGGTGAGGGGATAGGAGAGCAAGGGGATAGTATCTGTCTACTATTTCAGACATAACAAAATTTTAGAAGTCTGTATGCCAAGCTGCCACCTTGGGACTCAAGAAAGATGTTTTGAAAGTGTGGATAAAAGGAATCAAAGGCAATATATGCAATTATTTCTCTGCAACTGATCCTGGTTGCATCACCTGAAAACTTACTTTGTAGCCCAAGTCTGGCACGTGTGTCACTCTCTTTCTAAGCTACCCCTATTGCAGAGGCCATAAGCCCACAAAAGCCGGAGAGGAGGAAAGGAGCTGTGACATACAAATTTACAAAAATAATTCCTGATGAAGTAGTATCAAGAAGTCTAGATTACCATCACAAGCTTGTGAATTACACAAAAATCTGTCTCTAAAGAAATATCTGGAATAAATGCCTAGAAGGAGACCTGTTGGACCAAAGCATATATATATATTTAAAAATGTATTAGCTACAGCTAATTGCCTTTCAAAAAGGTTACTGAAATTTATTCTCTCACTGTCAATATGAGAGTGTTTCTCATCTTTTCTCACCTCATCTTTTTCTCCAGTAATTTGAAAAGCCACTCACACACTTACATGTATTTATTTCTGACCCCCTGTGTTACACAGTTCTGTATAGCTATTCCTGGACCTGTAACATTGTTTTAATTACTTCAGCATTATAATATTTAAATATCTGAAAGGGTTAGCTCAGCCCTTTTTCTTGCTTAGAATTTTCTTTGCTATTCTCATGTTGTTAATTCTTCCAAATAATCTTTAGAATCATTTATCAAAATAAACCGAGATTTTTAAGTGAAATGGCAATTCATTTACATTTATAAAATTCCTAACTTTAACAAAACTCCTTCAGCATTATCATTAAGGGCAATACTGGCTGATACTCTGCAACACTTTTGTTAAGAAACTAGTTTCACTCTTCCGAGAGTTTTGTTTTGGGCTTTATATTTTCAGAAACCACAGACAGATATTAATTTTATCATGTGTATTTTGGGGCAGAAACCTAAAGATAACTTTTCTCTCTGGTCTTATTAATATTAATGATTCTATTAAAAGAGTTCCTAACATCAAACCATCCTTTGATCCCTGAAATGAATTCCATTTATTCGTAGTGTATTTTTT